GCAGGTCCAGCCCCTCAGGCAGAGAGTGGTGCTGCTCCAGACCTTGGATGGGCTGTTCCTGTTCAGCAACCTGGGCTGGTGGAAGGTGTCCCTGCCCATGGCAGGGGGTGGGATATGAGCTCCAAGGCCCCTCCAACCCGGACCATTCCATGATTCCATGGTATTTGCAATCTGTTCCCATTCAGCAGCCTGTGGTTTCCAGCCCCCGTTGAGCAGCAGTGTCTGGGATGGCTGGGACAGGACCATCCTCACTCAGCAGCTCTGCCTTCCTTCCAGAACTGCTCCCATGAACCCTGGGTGCCACTGATCCCTCTGCATTGCTCACAGGGGGGTTTCACCAGCACAAAGCCAAGATCTCACCCATGAAGGAGGAGCACCCGCAGTCCCAGGCATTAGAGATGCTCTCCATGATTGAACAGCTGATGTGGGTGAGTGATCTCCAGAAAAATGTACAGAATCACTCACCAAGACGGCAAATGATCTCCAGCTCAGCAGCTCTGCTGTGCGTGGGTGGCTTTGTCACACTGGGAAACATCAAATTTCCAATATCAATCTGACTTCCATTCATTTCATCCCAGCATGAGGTGGGGATATGAAGGAGCATCTTCAGCTTCAGGCCATTGGAGGCCCAAGACCACCACAGACAGGAGGACTGGGGACTTCCAGCCAAAGGTCCCAACCCTTCATGGTTCAACGTGCCCATTTCACTGTCTGGGTTTGGATAATTCCTTCTTTTTTCCCTCAGCAAAGCATTTCCTCATCCTTACAGTCACAGACAACTCTAAGGCCTTGAGCCCACCTTCCCAGGCTACCCAGCACAAATCTCCTCCTTCTGGGAACATCCAGAGGTGTCAGAGCTGCTTCCCTGACCTGCACAGAGCTGGAGGTGTCTTCTATTACTCTGCCATCACCTTTGTATCAGTGTATATATTGATATATGAGCTATATTATATTACCGTGATATATGATAACATTTGAAGTTATACAACACATGGGTGGTGAGGCCCTGGCCCAGGTTGCCCAGAGAAGCTGTGGCTGCCCCTGGATCCCTGGAAGTGTCCAAGGCCAGGTTGGATGGGGCTTGGAGCAACCTGGGCTGGTGGAAGGTGTCCCTGCCCATGGCAGGGGGTGGGACTGAATGAGCTTTAAGGTCCCTCCCCACCCAAACCATCCTGGGATTTATAAATATATATGGGCTGTATGAAAGGAACCTTTTCTAATCCCTGTGAGTTACTTCCTAAACAAGGTAAATCCCAGGGAATGGCAGAGAAAACAAGGAGAACTCACTGTGCCATGTGCATCCTTGCAGCAGGTTTCCATGCAGAATATTCCCTGTTGGGAATATCAGGGAATTCAGTGCATCATGAGCTGGAAGGGGGATGGAAAACCTGGAGCTCAGCAGAAGAAGCAAAATAGTTGAGCAGAAAGTTCTGACATGTCAAACCCTCAACAAGGGGGCAGATGGACCCAGTCCCAAAATCAAAACAGGAGCACAGGATTTCACAGCTCACATCTCTGCCTGGGGTTTTGACTGTGTGCAAGTATGGAAGTGTTTTCTCCTTAAACCTACTGCTTTTATAAGCAAAGCAAATAACAAAACCATGCTTCAAAAACCTGGCTGTGGTCTGGAATGCTGCCAGGCTCTGCTGAGCTTGGGTTTCCCCTGCCACCATTGTGCTTAATTTTATTTCATTTTTCATGGAAAAATATTGATTCATATGTAAGGATCAGTCCCAAGCACCCCTGGCAAGGGGAAAAGTCAAAAGCACATACCCAGGTCACCATTATCACATAGAAACAGTGACAGCTGCTGGAAATCACCTCCCTGCTCACAAATACCAATTTTCCTTGGGTTCTCCTTGTGCTACAGGGCTGCTCCCCTGTGCTTTATTTCCTCTTTATTATAAGGCAGAGGTGGTTGTGGGGTTTTTCATATGTTACTCCAACATCAAGGCTTAAATTCTTGGCTCACCAGAGGACATGTGGAAAAGAGGGTTCACCTGGGAAAGGCAGCCCTGACCCCTTCCTGGGTCGTTCTAAAAGACTGACAACATGAAGAGCACTAAAGAATTTATTAGTTCAGAGCTCCCCCCTGGTTAAAATGAGTTCTACCACAAAACCAGGAAGATCTGATGCCATTTTGCGGCAGGTGCCAGGAGTGAGTGACGGGCACCTTTCACCCAGGGAGGTTTAAATAGAAGTGTTTTCATTCCTACAGCAATTCCTGTTAAACTTCTCCTCGTGAAGAAAAGGCTTTTAGTTACCCAGACCACTTTATTTCTGAAAGCTCCTCCTTGCATCTTCCCCACAATCCAGAGTTCTCCCCACCTGCACAGGAATTCAATGCCAGTGCTGGCATTCCCCATCCACTGAGCAGGTTTGATGTGGGGCAGCTTTGGAAACCTTTAATTAAAAACATGCTGTTGAAAAAGTGAGTCAAGCCCACGGATGAAGAGTCCAAGAGGGACAGGTCACCCAGCATTACCCACACAGCCCCGTGGTGCTCGTGGGGTTTGATCCTTGGCTGGCATCTCTGAAATCCTCCACGGAAGAAGAGGAGACTGGGGGAGGCTCCTCGGGGGCTGCAGCTCTGAGCTCTGCTCCCTGTGAGCAGGGACAGGACCCAGGGAACAGCTGGAGCTGTGCCAGGGGAGGGCTGGGTTGGGTATCAGGGAAAGGTTCTTCCCCCAGAGGGTGGTTGGGCACTGACCGGGGGCTCTCAGGTCTCCCCAGAGCCTTCTCCTCACCCCCAGCTCTCCCAGCCTGTCTCCGGAGCAGAGATAGAGGATGAGGAATTCCCAGCTGGAATTCCCAGCTCCTTGGAGGACAGAGGTGCTGTACTTTAGGCCCTTTGAAGGCAGCAGTAACACTTTCCTGCTCCCCTTGGACAGGGAGCTTCTGGGGTCATGAAACCACCAATGCCAAGGCCAGAAAGGCTCTGTGAGCCCATCTCCTCCTGCAGCTGAACTTCCAAACCCAGTGAACTGCTCCCTGTGCCCTCAGGGCTCCCCTGCAGTGTTGTCTTTGCAAGTCCCACACTTGTTCCCACCAGTGGAGGTGGCTGAGGGGGCTCCCCAGGGGCCACTTGGGCACAGCCACAGGTGGCTTTCAAGACATGGAGGTGTTTTGAGGGGAAAACGAAATCTTCTGCAGAGCAGAAAGGATGAAAGTGGCACAGGAAAAAGGAGGAGAAGGGAAGGGTTTGTGTGAGATCCCAGAAAGTGGAGGAGAAATGGGAGCATGGACAAACCAGAAGGGCTGTGTTTGCATCCGGCTCCAGCAGCACCAAACGGCACCTGTCCAAGTGACCTGCACCTTTCCCAATGGATTCCCAGAGCAAACACTTTTCCTACATAGCAGGGGAGGAACAAACCCTGGACTGCCTGGAGAGTGTGTGGGGACACCTCAGATCCATCCTCAGCTCTCTTTCCTCCTGTGGCAGTGAAGCATCTTCTCCCTGCAGTCCTTTGGATGCCTCCAGAGCAAAGCAATCCCAAACCTCTGGATGGCCCCAGAGCAAAGCAATCCCAAAATCCTCTGGATGGCCCTAGAGCAAAGCAATCCCAAAATCCTCTGGATGGCCCCAGAGCAAAGCA